AAAGAGGACATGCTATATATCTATTTTTATTTCTCAGTACTGGCACAACTGGCAGCGAATATTCATTACCCGAAAGACGAGTGGGTTCTTTACAATATAAGAAGCGAATAACTCATCAAACTTCTACACTTTCTGAGGACATAAAGCATCAGTATAACAGTTCCAATGAGAGTATTGGTTCTCTACGTTCCAAACCATCATCAAAGTCGAAAGCAAAAGCGTCAAATAATGTGCAATCCGGTTCTGCGAACAGCGGCATAATACCAGAAGTTACAAAGGAGTTACGTTTAATGCAACGCCCAGTGAATGGCTACAAATTCGGAGATGATAGACTGGTATTGGTGTCTAATAAACGTGTGCCATTCTTAGTATTCTCTGCTCTTCCATATAACAAAGGGCAGAGATCTAGTTGGTAAGAATTCTACGTTACATGAGATTGTACACGTTTGGTCTATGTACTATTATCAAATTTTCCCTTCCCATCCATAGGTCAGAGTTACGTAAGGATACAGGGCGACGGAAAAATATTGTTTCACAAAGACCATTGTCGGCGATCAATGATAACATTGACCCTTTCGGTTTATTGGGTATAGAACGTGCCAAAGACGGCCAGGTATTTAGAAAATACGAAACGGATCAATGATGTTAGATTTTTGAAAATAATACAGATTGTTTTCAGGAAATATCATATGGACAACTGCTTGTTCCATCTAGGCAGTTTCAGAAGGAGAAAAAATTACATTTTAGCGATAATGATACGATAGAATTGATACCTAACAAGCATCCTGTAGTTTCAAGGTATTCAATTGAAATCAATGTATTTGTGCCTTTACGCAATATCTTGTTCCAAATCAAATGATTAATTATTAAGATTAACAAATTCTATATTGCATAAAATTTGGATCGATTTCTGTACGCTCCCCTCTTATACATTTCCAATCATCTTTCATTCGTCCTCGCTAACTGTCTTCACAGAGCATGCATCACATTATTTTTTTTATCTTATAACAAAATTTTTCAACCATATTTTGCAGGACAAAAACTATTACATGGAACGTGGATCACTCTAAATGGTAAAATATATAATAATATATAAAAAAAAGAGGTTCAAATAAATTAGTCCAATATCGTACACAGTAGAGAATGTGAATTATAGTTTATACTTTAAATCAATTTGGAGTAGATAATATCCATTAGTATAATTATTTATATTTTTGCATAAACAATTGTTTGTATAAGTATTGCATAGATTAAAAACAAATATTTACTATATAAAACGTAAATGTGATAGTCTTGCCAAATTGATATTTCTCCACTTAACGAGTGATAAAAAAATAATATATTGGTATGTTATTATTCACATCCATTTTCATTTCAATATCATAATCACATAATCATTTGTGATTCATTGTATGCATACATGTATAATTCACACATATTTAATGTGCGCGACCCTTAAGATTAGATTTTCTCTAATGCTAGTTATTAGTAACTTTACGAGTAGTATCACCATTTGATATAAGTATTAGTGGCAGAACGGGAACTTGTTTTAGGTGTCTATCATATGACACAGCGACACACCGTGCTCAACATGTAACGCCCGAGTCTCCACCGTTATCTTTTACTGCTGATTCTAAAGGTACGTTTGTCTGACATATATTATTTGTGTAAGTAAAGTAGTAATAGCGTGCGCAAGGGAGAGAAATAATTCTATTATTTATTTATATATACAGCTTACGATTGGGACGAGCAATCGTTACAATACAATCCCAATTTATTAGATGACCCAGAACTTATAGCTGGAAAGCATAGAACACTGCTCACGTTTACGTCCTACATGGTACGTTGGATACTTAATAAGATTTATTGGATAATTATTTATGAGTTCATTTTTCATATAGGCATCGGTAATCGATTATGTAAGACCATCCGATTTGAAGAAAGAATTGAATGACAAGTTTAAGGAAAAATTCCCGCATATACAACTTACTTTGAGTAAGTTAAGGAGGTCAGTATTAAGGAGCACAATGATATAGAGGAGTAAACATATGGTTTCTGTGAAAATGAATAACGTAACTGTTACGATGTATGCACAGCTTGAAACGAGAGATGAGGAAAATAGCAAAACTGGAATACGGTGTTGATCTATTAACAGTGGCAATGGCTTACGTATATTTCGAGAAGCTGATACTTCGCAATATTGTCACGAAGCAAACACGAAAATTGTGTGCTGGTGCATGTTTACTTCTTGCAGCTAAATTGAATGATGTTAAGGGTGATGTTCTTAAATCGTTAATAGAGGTATTTACGTCATATACAAGCATCTTACATCAATTTACTATTACATCATTACCCGAATTGATTCGTTACACGTTATAGTATGTTTAATAAATACTTTTTGTATAATTTACAGAGAATTGAAAGTGTATTTCGTTTAAATCGCAAGGATTTAATTACATCTGAATTCGCTGTTCTGGTGGCCTTAGAATTTGGTTTACATCTCCCTACGTGGGAAATATTCCCTCATTATCAGAGATTGATATATGAATCTTGACCTTCTTTTGTGACGTTTCTCTTACGTAGGCCCAGAACATTCTCTTCGTGAAATTAAATTCCGGAAACAGTTACGAATAGTACAAGGAAGCAATTTTTTGTTTGTACAAAACAACGTACAAAATTACGGGCAACAATGGAGAAGAGTTCGAAATTGAACAGATTCTATAGTTGCTATTAAGAAAGTTATTATTCCCCGAGGTCTTAGAAATTTTCTACTAGAAAACAATATATCGGTCATAACAGTCATAAGCTGTATGGTAGGTAAGAAAAATTACCGGGAAATATATCGAACTACTACATCTCTCCTTACATGAGTATACTAGGTAGGTGAGCTTTATATTGTTATTAAGTTCTGTCATGATAAACGTTGTTTAATGTTTCGTGTAAATTTGTAAGCACGCGTGTATTTAACTGAATTAATAATGCAAAACAGTGGCAAGTGGTCAATCGGTAAGACTAAGACATTGTAAACATCGCAGGGACTACAGTGTGTATACAGTTTTTATATACTGTCGACAGTCCGATATGTTCAAATCACTTATTTTAAATAGATACATAATTTTTAATTTAGTTTCGATGTGATTGTAAAGTTATATGATGTACAGTACTTAGTATAATCGACTCCTGTTTAACCGTACTATACATACATGGAAGGAACGTTGTTGAATATGAAGTAATATATTATATTCAAGTCTCATATAGAGAAAGTGATAAATACGAACGATAGGGTCAATACAAATAGAGGTTTCTCAGATTCTTAAGAACAGCAGTTACAGAGATTTAATTATGTAAATTTGCTTCCTATCAATTTTATAATGTACAAGTACAGGGAAGCTTCCGTGTTTTAAAGCAG